TGGGTAACAAGGGCCAAAACGCAATGGGGGTAGGTTCCCCCCCCCCCAGGGTGTTTGGAGGGGTATCCCTTTTCACCTCATTTCCGGGACCCCCCCCCCCCCCTTTTTTTTTTTTTTGCCCTGCTCCACCGGCAGGCCACCAACGCTGCCAGCAACGGCCTGAAGCGACTGGCTCCCTTGCTTGACAAACTTCAAAAGCAACTCGAGAACGACGCCAGCTCCTACGCCGTGTACGCTCAGCTCAGCCAACCCTGCTTGTTTCCCCGATGCTCTTCTTTCATTTCCCTTTGGTTCGCCATCTCACACTCTTGGCATTTGAATCACTTGTAGCACCGCCAAGGAAGCCGATCGTCGTCAGAATCAGCTTCGCCAGCTGAATTCTCGGTGCGTAGTCGCCACCTCATGGCAGCAGAGGGGATGGTTTGTCTTTCACAGCTACATCTCTTGTTTTCTGGTTACATCCCGATGTTTTCCTACCCATCCATCCATCCATCCATCCATCCCTACGCGGACGCCTCTTCATGACACGATTCATACGTTGTTGTTTTCTCAACCACTTTCTTGAGGGAATGATGAGAATCCGGGCTGCGGTTTTCCTACGCGTCAGAGATGGCGTGATCTGCTGGACAACACCCTGCTAGATTCATTTGCTGACCTTCACGTCCTCCCCACCCACACGCACATCCGCCCTCGGGAACACAGCTGAAACTGATCTTGATTAGATTCTCTTTTTACCTTGTTATTACATATTGGTTCAATTCTGGCTAAAGTGGACATGATGAGAATCCGGGCTGCGGTTTTCCTACGCGTGTCAGAGATGGCACGACTTGCTGGACAACACCCTGCTAGATTCATTTGCTGATCCCATTTCTCCTCTTGTTGACATTGGCGTTGTCACTTTTGGCTGAACATTGTGTTTCTTTTTGTTTTGGGTGGAACACATTTTTGCTGGGCGTGATGAGAATCCGGGCTGCGGTTTTCCTACGCGTGTCAGAGATGGCACGACCTGCTGGACAACACCCTGCTAGATTCATTTGCTGATCCCATTTCTCCTCTTGTTGACATTGTCAGTGTTCGCTTTTTATACCAAACACATTTTTTTTTTAAAATACCGAAACGTTGGGCGTGATGAGAATCCGGGCTGCGGTTTTCCTACGCGTGTCAGAGATGGCACGACTTGCTGGACAACACCCTGCTAGATTCATTTGCTGATCCCACTTGCTTTCCTTTTCTTTTGCTTCCCGTGGTGTACTATCGTTGTGACTTGGCTGTTCTCTTTGATTCATCAACCCCCCGCACGACACCGTTCAGACCACACGCAACAACACCCTCGTATACTCAATGGCTGAAAAGAAAGGGGTTTGGATGTGATGAGAATCCGGGCTGCGGTTTTCCTACGCGTGTCAGAGATGGCACGACTTGCTGGACAACACCCTGCTAGATTCATTTGCTGATCCTACCCGCTTGTCCTTTTTGATTTGCCACACGTCTCCGCTCCACTTTCCCTCCCCTATTCGTGTCCGGTACAATGGCCGTGCACCCCCTATTATTTTTCTCATCGTCATCAATGCGCTCTTGCCTCGGCAGATTCAAAACCCTCGAGGGTCAGTTTGGTCAAGGCAACAGCAACAGCGCCATGAGCAGCGATTACCACCGCAATGCCCTCTACGGATCTGCCGGCGGCCGTGCGCCGGTCGAGGACGAATACACTCGCGGTCAGGATACACAGGCCCTTCTGCAAGAGCAGGATCGGATCATGGACGAGCAGGACCGCGGCTTGTCCACCATCTCCGCCTCGGCGCAACGGTTAAAACAAGTGGGCATGGCCATTGGCGACGAGCTGGATGATCAAAACGGTGAGTATCTTGTTGTCGTTTTGCATCGACATGGCGCACATGCACGCTGATCTGCACCCACTCATTCGATGCATCGTTTGCTGCCTGCGTACAAAAACACAATAGAGATGCTGGATGAGCTTGGCCAGGGCATGGACATTACGGATCGTCGCCTGAAGCGAGAAACCGAGCACGTCGTTTATGTATCTGAAAAGGCCAAGGCCGGTGGCATGTTTTGCTGCATCCTGCTTCTGATCATTGCCATCATTGTTGTTGCTGCTGTTCCCAAGTAAACTTCTTTTCTCCATGCCGTGGATGTGTCCGGCCGCGACTCGTTTGTGATGTAATGTCATCCAGTTTGGTCGCTGCCGAGTGTTGCTGTTGCTCTCGATGTTTTTTTTTTTTTTTTTTTGTCTCTCATTCACTGGTTAGGTCCATTCTCCCTCCACCCCACCGTCTCTCCTTTTCTGTTTTTCCGTATTGTTTTTGTTGGTTGTTCTGTGGTCATTTTCTTGCCCTATGGCTGCTGTCGGCGCGCCCGTGGTTATCCCCGGTTCTCACAGCGTTCCGCAGTTGACGGAGAGATTGTTGTGCCATGTCGTTGTGGGGTCTTTTATTTTTTTTGTTTTGCTGTGCCGTTTGCTCCCCTTGAGCCGCCCCCTTTCCCCCTTGTTGGGTCCGTGGTCTGCCGAGCAATTCACTTTATAAAGCACGGCTCGTGCATTGGTGTCAAGTCAGCGATTCAAAGAAAGATAAGAGTGTGGCCAAAGTCACGCGGTCAATTCTTGATTTATGGATGGAAGGCACTGCAAAACCACACGAAACACATTTTTCGCTTCAACCCTGAAACAAGGAAAGGAAGAGGCAACTACAAACAAAGGGACCACGGCATCGGGACGCGCAAAAACACATGGGACGGATAAAAGAGGGAAAAACATTCAGGTTGGTGATTGTCAAAGATGAGCACTCTGGGGCAAAATATGACATAAAAGGAGGGACGGGCACGAGGAGGAAGAGCGAGGAGAGCCAAATAAGCATCAGGCAGGCGGATGACGGTTTATTTAAGATCATGAAAATATGCAAGCTAACAATGAAACACAGCGATCAGGCAAAAAGACAAAGGAGGTAACGGCAAACATCACACGACAAAAGTCGGGAGAAGAGGTTGGGTTGGCTGTGCCAGCGTCTCTGACGCCCATTTTGCAGCACGAGCGCGTAAAACCCCACCCCTTGCAACCCGACACACAGACAAGACAAGAAACGAGTCACGGAAAAAGAACGAGCAAAACCAGGCCTGACAGATAGATAGCGAAGGGGGAGGATCAACGATCCAATCGCCTTCTTCCTTTTCTTCTGCCAAGGCCTGACGCAGCACAGGACGACACAGCGCATGGATACACCCTGATGGCATGAAGCAGGGAGCCATGGCACAAGCACGACGACAGCACAACAGACACGGGGGCGGAGCAAGCCATGGGCAGACAATGCGCCAGAGACCCATGGCTCGATCTGGCACAACAGGGGACAGCAAGGAACGAGTCTGCAAGAATTGGGAGAGTACCTGGGCAGCCATAGGCAGGAGGCCAAGCCACCGCGCCATCCATGGCAGGCCCTCGAGAAAGCTCGGCGCGTGGAAAGGCCGCCTCTTTCTTGTTCCAAGTGAGAAAGATAAAAGGAAAGATTGAGGCGGCACCTCACACGAGCAAAAGCATGAGCACACGCCTTTTCCATTGGAAAAAGGCAGTTGCACCCGGGTACATCTGCTGCAAGCAAAAATCTCGAGAGCAACTGCAGGAAGCGCGGTGGCAGGGCGGGCTTGTTTACTCGGCATCAGCAGGGGCCTCGGCCGCGTCGCTCTTGGTGCGGTATGCGTCGAGCTCGGCGTTGAGGTCAGTGGCCATGGTACCACGGTACTGGGAAAGCTGGGCATCCAGGTCCGAGGGATCGGCGGGCTTGGCCGCTTGGGCGCGGCCACCACGACCGCCACGACCGCCACGGCCACCGCGACCGCCACGACCGGCACCGCGGCCACCACGGGTGTTGCCACGGGAGCGATCGTTATCGCGGCCATCACGGCGGTCACGGTCACCATCACGGCGAGGACGACCAGAGTCGCGATCGCGGCGACCACCGTCAATGAAGCGACCACCGGCGGCGGGCTGGGCCATCATGGTGGACATGACGGCAGCGGAGGCGAGGGCATTGTCATCGGCGACAAGCTCAATCTGGAGGGGCTTGCCGTCGAGGAGCACCTGGTTGTAGGCCTCATAGGCGGCGCGCGCCGAGGCGGCACTCTGGAAGATGACCTCGGCCGTGCCCTGGGAGCGACCGGAGCGATCGTAGTTCATGTTGCAGGCGCGGAGAGCCCCGTGCTTACCGAAGAGCTCCTAAGCCACATGATCCAGGTTGGTGGGGGCGGGAGGATGAGAAAGGGCGAGGGAAGGGACGGATCGTTGGTTGTTAAGACTTGGGAAAAAAAAAAAAAAAAAAAAAAAAAAAAAAAAAGCTTACGCGCAGGTCCTCCTCCAGGACGTCAAAGGCGAGGTTGGACACGAGCAACTTGGTGCTGGCAATGGTGGGCACGGCACGGGCCATGCTCATGGGCACGCCACTGGCGTCTGAGTGCGCAAGAGCAAAACAAAGGAA